CGTCGTCAAATTACTAGATTTACCCCCCCCCCCCGAAAAATCAAAAGGCTTTGATAAATTCAGCTTTCGGAAAAACCTCAAGAGGTATTCGATTATGTTTATACAAACAAATTACTAATAAGGTTCCGATACGTCTAACCTTCAAAAAACCCAACGGGTACAAAAACACATGCTAAGGCATAACTAGAATTTTGCTAAGTCTTTTGGCCGAAATGGGGGAAAAATTATATAACCATTTTAGAGTCCGTAACGGCCCAACTTAAAGAGCCTAAGGCCGATATATAAGAGCCTAAGGGCCAGCTTAAAAGAGCTCAAGGGCCAAAAACTCATAAGAGTCCGAGACTTCGTTCTCACTCAACTCGGACCCAAAAGTCCCATTGTTCCGAGCTCGCATCATATTGATTTTAAGCTTGGCTCGAGGACCATCTAAAACCTTAAGGGGTATTATATTGAGCAATAAAAACCTAATGGTTTATTACGCTACGACTCTAAACCGATACTCGGGCTTAGTATTTGAATCATAGAAATTTTCCACAGATGGGGATATAATAAAATTCAACACAAACCGAGGATAGAGCAAAGAGATGCTTTATATTCATAAGGGAAATTTACAAAACATATTTACAACACCCACAAGGGGCCCTTGCGAAAAATAAAAGAAAACCTAATCTATTTTCGGGGTCACACCCCCGGGAGTGTCATCTTCAGAGACTGCATCTTCAGCGGCTCTATCATCGGGAGTCTCCTCTCCTTCGGGAATATCTTCTTCACCTTCCTCATCCCCGGAGCCACTCTCTACATCCTCATCATTGTAGGAGACAAGAAACCTATCATCGGTTTCCCGCACCTTTGCTTCGACTATCTCCTCGGCAAGATTGAACCCTCGGGCATGGATTTCCTCGAGGGTCTCCCTTCGAGCCTGGCACTTGGCCAATTCATTGCTCCGTTTTCCCCGGTTGGAGGCCTCCCTCAAGTCAGCTTGAACGGCCGTGACTTTCCTCAAGCATATGGCAAAGGATTTATCAGCCGCAGCTTACGTCTTCTCAGCTTCAGTCTTAGCCTGTACAGCTTTCGCCCGGGCTCTAGCTAGCTCAGCCTCTAACTCCTCGATTTTCTTGGCATAAGCCAGAACCTTCGCTTCTGTGCCTTGGAGATGAGCTTTAGATGAGGCTAGTTGGGCCGTAACAGCTTCCTTATTGGCAACAAGTTGGTCCATATTTTTCTTCCACTGATGACAATCAACTCAAACTTGATCTACCTCGCCCCGGAGCTGCCCAATCATATCTAACTTTTGCTGCAGCTGAGATATCAAAGTGTAAGCCTCCGAAGTAGGGCCAATAAGGCCTTACTCTATTAAAATCACAATTACCTGCTAATCTAGCTCGGACTCGCTTTTTTGAGCTTTGGCCAATGCGGTTCGGAGATCCTCAAGCTCCTTTTCCTTATGCCTACAGAGGAGCCTCAGGGCTTCTCTTCGCCCAAAACTTTCTTAAGCTCGTCCTCACATTGGCTTAGCTCAACTCTAAACATTATGATGGCCTACAAGTGAAATGGAGACATATCAGTCAAAAGAAAACAAAGAAAGAAAAAATTACAATAATGAAAGCTAGTACTTACCTGGGAGAGGAAATGTTGAGCCTCTTCGAAAATGGTGGAGGCATCATTAAGGTCGTTGGCATCCTCAATCCCAACGTAGCAACCATGAAAAGTATCATCCTGGATGACCTTGATTGGATCGGGCATGCGCAGAGCGTTGGCTTCTTCGGTTGCCCCCTCGGAATAAGCTGGCAATGAAAATGAGTGACTTGTTGTCGCAGCTCCGAACTCTTCACTTGGGGCGGTCTCATTAACATTGGGGGTCTCGGCATTTACCCCTCCTGGTATAGTTGTTGAAGACGGAGTGACTATCTCAACCTCTGGGGAAACGGGGGCCTTGCCCGCTTCTTCCTTCGGGGTCTCCTCACCACGGGATGAGATTTCTAGCTCGGAAGGCTTGCCAGACTTTGTTGGTTTTCTAGTATGGGTCATCAACGCCGACTCTTCATCATCGTTTTCACCATCATATGGGGAATCGTGGGCCGAATCTGCACCTATTTGAGCAAATCTTTTTCGCAGCCTTCGAGCGGGGGTTTTCTTGTCTTGAGGGTCTTTGGGCTTTGAAACCCTTTTTCTTTTGTTTTCCTTCTCAGACTTCGAATTTGATGGCTTGGTCTTTTCCCTGCGGGCGGCCTCATCTCGGATGCATCACCAAGGCCTGCGCAAGTGAAAGTTAGCAAGTTGACAACAATAATATACGAAAGGTGTTTAAAACTTGGAAAAAGCACTCAGCATGGTTCTTGGCCTCCCACTAGCCCTTTGATAATTCACGCTACTTGCGCTGATCGTAGGAAGAAGTGACAGCTAACTTTCGGACCCAATCCTCGAGGTTGGGCACCGCTGGAGGTTCCCAAGCATTGGTTGCAAAAAGAAGGACAAAAGCGTTATGAAATATGGAAGCAGAATATGAATTGATACTGGGAATACAAACTCCACTTACAATTAAAGTTCCACCTCTCCGGGAACGACGTCTGAAGTTCATACTCTAATAAACCGGCTCATACAACCCCGATCTTTAGGTTCATCAGTACTGGGAAAGAAGGTTTTTGTTGTTTGGCACTGCAGCTTGATGAGCCCTCAAAATAACTAGGGAAGATACAATCGAACTAGGTGACTAAGGGTGAATTCCCAACCCTCAGCCTTTTTAGAAAAATACTGCAACATGATCACGATACGCCAAAAAGAGGGATGGATCTGACCGAGGGTGACTTCGTACGTTTTGCAGAAGTCGATCACCACCGGATCAAGGGGACCCAGTGTGAAGGGGTAAGTGTATACACTCAAAAACCCCTCCACGTGGGTAGTAATGCTTTCATCGAGGCTCGGGATCTGAACCTCGACCTCATTTCCCCAGCCACAGTCTTTCTTTACATCCTTGAAAAGCTTCTTCGTTAACAAGCTAATATATCGAGATGCGTGCTCGCATCGGCTTGGGACATCAGGAGGATTCTCAATACTAAAATCCTTATTAATAATACAAGGACCGATGGTGATTTCCTCAAGTGTTGGCGGCACCACCAGTTTGGCCGGCCGGGAGGTAGAAGAAGACGATGCCTTATCCTTTTTAGGGACCGTCTTAGAAGTTTTAGCCATGATTGAAAGCTAAGGAGTACGGGTTGTGCAGGGATGTGGTGTTTCTTACAAGAGTTTGGTATTTTCCGGCGCTTGAAGAGGCGGTGGAAACAGGTAATTAGAGAAAGAGATCAGGATGATAAAGATGTAAAGAAAGAGTAAAGTTCTTTACTCAGAGGAATCGCCCCGTATTTATAAATAGACAATGATGGTTCAACGGTGCTAGTGGCCGACCAACTCTGGCACGCATTCAATGTTATGGGGAAATGGACCGACGGGACGTTTCGTTCACTTTAAATGCATGCATCACGGAAATGAGTTCAGCATAAGAGGTTCATGAAAATCGGGGTTCAAATCGTTTCTTATTATCTTACTCTAAGAAACGCGGGGACTATCTGTATACGGTCGAGATCGGATGCCTCCGATCTCTATACTTGAGGGGTCGTCCGTGGTCCAAATCCGGGTAAGACCAAGTTCAATCTCGAGGGACCAGACCTAAGTTCGAAGGTGGAGGATGATGCATACCGAGCTCGAGCGTGCGCGACCTCGAAACAGTACCGTTATGGATTCGTACCAGAACACGTTAGATTCCTGCCACGTCCCCAAAGTCATGGCATAAATCCCGAAATATGAGTGTACTATTCCGTACTAGGCGGTTAGGCAGCAATACCAAGAATATTCCCTACTGTAAATAGAAATATTCCTTTTTAGGGCTCCCCTATTACGTAATGGGGACCCCAATCATTTCTAGGATATCTTATCATCTTTTACGGAGCAAAGAATATACTCGCTACCTTTTTGCCTACTGTTCATCAACATTGTCCTTTAGATCCATTGTTCTTACTTTATTTTAATTACTTAATTGTTCTTACTGCCCTAAGCCATCTTGAGGTCACCGTCTCGAGGTCACTACTGCTGAGTAACATTTATTTGATTCACTTCTGTCTTTCATTTTTACTTCATAATTCTTGATTATTCATTGGTATTGAACTAAATCAAGTATTTCTAAAACCACAAATCAAATTTAATTGTTACTCATATTTTCGGGGTAAACAAAGCATGTTGTTCAACTTAATGGGTGGTTAAAGTGACTAGACAAAGATAAAAACAATATAATAGAAGTCTCGTAATCATTTGGATAAAAAGTGTGGCTGCTTTCTTAAGTCACTTGTGTATATGAAATACGTTCATAAATTTTATGGGTAGACATCTCTTATGTGATGATCTATCCATCTTTATTGTAATTAGGTATAATATTGTTTAATGTTATAATTAATTGTATTAATTTGTTACCAATTTAAAATCCATTGATTAAGATATATCTTAAGATTTGTAAGTTTCTTCGAATTATACTTTGAAGTTGAAGAATGATATACATAAAGTAATTTTTTCGAAAGAATTATGTCTACTTAAAAGTTGTTTTTATTATTTCACAGAAATTTGTACTTTTTTTCTTTCATGTATAATTATACCGAGATATTTATTTAAATAATGTTGATACTATTTACCACATGACTTGGCATTATTGAAATGCTTGTATACGGTCTAAATCGGAGAGCTCGATTTAGAAGAATTAATCATACCCCGAGCTCGAGTTCGGAAGCTAGAAGTAAGAATCGAGCACGGCCGAGATATGGGCACCTCGACAAGCAAATCGAAGACCCGTCATGATCTGACTCAAGGACACTACAATTTCGATGACACTCAAGAAAGAGCGAAAATTTCGCAAGGATACATGGATCAAGGCATACATAAGGGAAAAGATTTTTACGAAATAGTACGAGTGCGTACTAGGTTGTTATACAGGTGTACCAATAGAATTCTGTACCATAATTCGGAATGTACCATATTAGGGTTTTCCCCTCCTATATAAAGGGGACCTCAATCATTTGTAAAAAGGATCTCATTCACGGCAATAGAACATTCTACTATGCTTTTCTCGTTTACTGTGCTCCACTATTGTTCTTTGGCTTTATTGTTTTTACTTTATGGTTCATACTTCATTAGCTCTTAGCTCACTTCGAGGCCCCGAGAAAATCGAGCTCGAGGTCCTTATTGCCCTAACAACACTGGTTTAGTTCATCAATTCTTTTTACTTAAACCTAATATTACTTGTATATTCATTAGTATTGGAATAAATCACATATCTTAAAACCACAAATCACCTTTAATTGTTACTCATATTTTTCGAGGTAAATAGTTTGTCGCCTACTGTGGGGCTAAAGATAATAGTGATAGTTCTAGTTTTCTGATAACACACGTTATTCTTCACACTTTTTCTTGTCAATGATTCTTTGATTTCAGGCTATGATATGTCTAGCTCAGCAAACGCGTCGGTGCATGGAAACGACAATCTCGGATCCCATGGAGAAAACAACAGTATAGGGGTCCATGTACAACCAATCAACCCTAAGGAAGTGCCAAATATGGAGCCAATTGATATCAATTCACATAATGCTCTAAACGCGGACTCAGGCACACATCCCGTATGGAATGAACGCAGGGAAGCTCGATCCGGTGACCAAAGAACACGAGGAATGGAAGATGGGGGGATCAGCCTCCAAGTGATATTTGAGATGCTACAGGCTCAACAGATCGCCATCGCTCAACTTTAGAGTCAAAATAAGACCCCGAGCGTAGTTGATCATGAGAATATTCGGCCTGCTGAACCAGAACCGGAGAGATCAAACGGAAATAACTCAGGGACTGACCCCACCATCATGAGGAGGCTCGAAGAGCTTTCCAAAAAGGATCGAGATTGGAGAAAAGAAGATTGAAGAAAATGACAAAAAGGTGGAGACATACAACTCAAGGGTCGACCGAATACCGGGAGCACCTCCGAATTTGAAAGGACTGGACTCGAAGAAGTTCGTGCAAAAAATGTTCCCCCAGAGTGCAGCTCTGAAGCCCATCCAGAAGAAGTTTCGGATGCAAAAAATTCCAAAATACAATGGGACCACTGATCCCAACGAGCACATTAGCACATATACTTGTGGCATAAAAGGAAATGATTTGGAGGACGATGAGATTGAGTCTGTTTTCCTAAAAAGGTTTGGGGAAACTCTGTCTAAGGGTGCCATGTTTTGGTACAATAACTTACCCCCGAACTCTATTGATTCGTTTGCCATGTTGGCAGACTCATTTGTAAAGGCGCATGCCAGCGCCATAAAAGTTGCAACAAGGAAGTACGATGTATTCGAAATAAAACAAAGGGAGAACGAGATACTGATGGAGTTTGTATCCCATTTCCAGTCAGAACGAATGGAGTTACCACCAGTCTCTGATGACTAGGCCGTACAAGCCTTCACTCAGGGGCTAAATGAACAAAGTTCAATAGCTTCAAAGCAGCTGAAGCAGAACTTGATAGAGTATCCCGCCGTAAGTTGGGCGGATGTGCATAATAGGTACCAATCAAAAATTAGGGTCGAAGATGACCAGTTGGGAGCCCCCTCGGGCTCACTTTATCCAAGCAGGATACCAGCAAAGGTGCCAGGAAATGCAGACAGGGGGTCAAGGTCGAATAAGGAAAGATATCAGCCATACGTCGAGGATCGAAGGAACATTTCAAGGTGTAACATACCTCAGAATGATCAATGAGCAGATCGAGGTCAAAGTTCCTGGGGACTTATGAGAAAAACCGAGTTTGATAGGCACTTGGGACTGGCGGAGGCACCCCGATTATCGGAATACAACTTCAGCATCGATGCCTAGGGTATCGCCTCAGTCATTGGTCAAATTAGAGATACTAGATGGCCCAAGCCTATACAGACCGATCCTTCTCAGAAGAAACCCAACTTGATGTGCAAGTACCATGGTACTCATGGGCATAGGACCGAGGATTGCAGACAACTTAGAGATGAGGTAACCGGGTTATTCAACGAGGGGCATCCTCATTAATTTCTCAGTGACTGGGCTAAGAACCATTTCCGAGAAAGAGATGAAAATAGGAAGAATGAACCTGAAGAACCTCAACATGTCATTCACATGATCATCGGTGGAGTCGACGTTCCACATTGACCTATATTCAAACGTACCTAAGTATCTATCACAAGGGAGAAGAGGACTCGGGACTATATGCCCGAGGACACCCTCACATTCAGCGAGGAAGACATCGAGGCCTTATCTTTTCCTTACAACGATGCACTGGTAATTTCTATCCTTTTAAATAAAGTTCAAGTTAAACGTGTTCTTGTGCATCCAGGTAGTTCGGCACATATAATCAGGTCAAGGGTCGTGGAGCAGCTTGGGTTGCTCGGTCAAATCATACCAGCATCTCGAGTCTTGAATGTCCTCAACATGGAAAGTGAATCAACGAAGGGAGAAATCATCCTCCCAGTCAACGTGGCTGGAACCATACAAGACATCGAATTTCATGTCATCGAAGGTGACATGAGGTATAATGCTTTGCTTGGAAGGCTGTGAATCCAAAGCATGAGGGCGGTGTCATCGACCCTTCATCAAATGATGAAGTTCCCAACAAAGGATGGCGTGTAAACAGTATATCGAGAGCAGCATGCAACTAAAGAGATATTTACAGTACACAACTTGGCACCGGTATCGACACCATCTACATCGGAAAAGTCAAAGGACGAACAGGTGGCCGAATAGCAATCACAGGCCATACCCTCGGTTGAGCCCGAGGGACAGGTGTTCGATGAACAGGTGGTCGAGGACGAAGAAGAAGATTTCCTCACCCCCCGAGCGTTCGTTGCCCCCGAGGAATCGGATGTGACGAAGTCCACGGTCGAAGAACTCAAACATGCCATATTGATAGAGCATCTTCCTGAACGAAAGGTATACCTGGGGACGCAGTTAACCCCCTAACGCAGGAAAAAACTCGTTATATTTCTTATCAATAAAACTTATTGATTTTCGCCTGGTCCCACCTAGATATGACAGGGATCCCACTAGAGATAACTACCCATCGACTAAGTGTCGATCCCAGATTTAAACCGGTGAAGCAAACAAGGAGACCTCAGTCCGAGGTAAAGCATGCATTCATCAAAGAAGAGGTAACCAAACTTCTAATGATAGGATTAATTAGGGAAGTAAAATTTCCCGAATGACTAGCTAACGTAGTGGTAGTCCGTAAAAAGGGGAATAAAATTAGAATGTGTGTGTACTACAATGATTTGAACAAGGCATGCCCTAAAGATTCTTTCCCATTGCCCAACATCGATCGTTTGATCGATGCTACGGCCAGCCACGAGATCCTTACTTTTCTCGATGGCTACTCCGGGTACAACCAAATTCGAATGAACCCGGAGGATCAGGAAAGGACTTCGTTCATCACGAGGTATGGTACGTATTGTTATAATGTAATGCCTTTCGGGCTAAAAAATGTCGGAGCCACATACCAACGCCTAGTTAATAAGATGTTAGAACATCAAATAGGCAAATCCATGGAAGTTTATATTAATGACATGCTATATAAGTCCCTGTGCGCAGAGGACCATTTGACCCATTTGCAGGTGACGTTCGATATCCAAAGAAAGAACAACATGAAGCTCAACCCCGAGAAATGAGCTTTTGGAGTCGGCTCGGGCATGTTCTTGGGTTTTATGGTGTCGAACATGGGTATCAAGATCAACCCCGATAAAATCAAAGTCATTGAGGAAATCATCGTAGTAAATAATGTGAAAGTCGTCAACGACCGACCGAACAGATGGTTGCCCTAGGCCGATTTATCTCGAGGTCATCAGATCGGAGCCATCATTTCTTTTCCCTACTAAAGAAGAAGAACAACTTCGCATGGAATCCGGAGAGCCAACAAGCCTTGGAAGAATTAAAATGGAATCTCTCAAGCCCACCCTTGCTCCATACTCCGAAAGAGGATGAAACACTCTACTTGTATTTAGCCGTGTCCGAGGTGGTGGTAAGTGGCGTGTTGGTTCGAGAAGAGCAAGGTACGTACATTCCTGTCTATTATGTAAGTCGGACACTAGGAGATGCTGAAACCAGGTACCCACATTTGGAAAAGTTAGCTCTTGCATTAATAAGTGCATCTAGGAAATTAAAACCATATTTTCAATGCCATCCTATACGTATATTGATGACGTACCCACTTTGAAATGTCTTGCATAAGCCCGAATTATTAGGCAGATTGGCCAAATGTGCCATCGAACTTGGAGGGTACGATATTGAATATTAGCCTCGAATGGCTATCAAGTCTCAAAATGGCAGTCTTTGTGGCCGATTTCGCGCTTGCCCTCATACCTGAAGTAGAAAAGGAACTCTTACTGAAAACGGGTACGTCATTGGGGGTATGGACCCTCTACACAAACGGTGCCTCGAATGTGAAAGGATCCGGGCTCGGCATTGTTTTAAAACCGCCTACTGGCAGTGTCATTAGGAAATCTATCAAAACTTCTAAATTTAATAATAATGAAGCCGAGTATGAGGCCATGATTGCAGGTCTCGACCTAGCCAAGGGCCTTGGAGCAGAGGTCATCGAGGCAATGTGTGACCCGCTTTTGGTAGTAAATCAAGTAAACGGGAGCTTCGAAGTTCGAAATGATCGAATGCAGAGGTACTTAGACAAACTTCAAGTGACATTGTGCCGCTTCAAGGAATGGACACTGGTCCATGTACCTCGAGAACAGAATAGCGAGGCCGATGCATTTGCAAACTTGGGGTCATCAATTGAAGAAAATGATATCGTCCCGGGGACTGTCGTCCAACTATCGAGGTTGGTGGTTGATGAAGGCCATGCAGAAATTGATTCAGCAAGTTTAACGTGGTATTGGAGGAATAAGTACATCGACTACTTGAAGCACGAGAAGCTCCCCACGGACCCAAAATAGTCGAGTGCACTTCGAGCCAAAGCAGCTCGATTCTCACTTAATGAAAATGCAATGTTGTAAAGGAGAACCTTCGATGGACCACTGACGGTGTGCTTGGGACCCGGGGACACCGATTATGTATTACGAGAAATCCACGAGGGCACTTGCGGTAACCATTCTGGTGCCGACTCTTTGGTTTGCAAGGTGATCAGAGCGGTGTATTATTGGGATAGCATGGAAAAGGATACCAAGGAGTTCATTCGAAGGTGTGATAAATTCCAAGGATTTGCACCGATGATCCATCAACCCGGTGAATAACTCCATTCGGTCCTATCCCCGTGGCCATTCATGAAATGGGGGATGGACATCGTCGGCAGCCTACCAACAGCGCCAGGCGAAGCTAAATTTATTTCGTTTATGACGGACTGTTTCTCAAAATGGGTAGAAGCACAGGCCTTCGAGAAGATAAGAGAAAAAGAAGTCAACGACATCATATGGGACCACATCGTATGTCGGTTAGGGATACCTGCCGAAATAGTATGTGACAATGGGAAACAATTCATCGGCAGCAAAGTGACTGAATTCCTCGAGGACCGTAAAATCAAAAGGATTCTATCAGCGCCTTACCACCCAAGTGCAAATAGTCAGGCCGAGTCCACAAGCAAAACCATCGTTCGAAACCTAAAGAAAAGGTTAGATGATGTAAAGGGGAAATGGAGATAAGTATTGCCCGAGGTGCTATGGGCATATCGAACGACGTCAAAGTCAAGCACGGGGGAGACCCCATTTTCCTTAGTATACGGGTCCGAAGCATTGATCCCAGTCAAAATCGGGGAACCTAGCGTTAGGTTTCAGCATACTACCGAGGACTCGAATCACGAAGCCATGAACACTTCTCTCGAATCACTAGATGAGAAACGTGAGGCCACATTAATTCGAATGGCAGCGCAAAAACAAAGGATCGAAATGTATTACAACATAAGTACGAACCTTCGATATTTCGGAGTCGGGGACTTAGTCCTAAGGAAGGTCACTCTCAACACTCAAGACCCAAATGAAGGGAAACTAGGCCCCAATTGGGAAGGACCGAACCGTGTCCTCGGACTCGTAGGGAAAGCATCCTACAAACTTAGCACAATGGAAGGCGAGCAACTACCAAACAATTGGAAAGTATCGTTGCTCAAATGCTATTACTGCTGAGGTATGACCTTCCCCACTTTTCCATTTATATTTAAAACTAACTCCTTGCAGATGTTCGATTGGAAACATCGAGGCATCATTCAGCTCGAAGACCTTGGGTTTTAAAGCATGCGTTGCACTCTTTTTCCCTTAGATCGGGTTTTATCCAAAATGGGTTTTACCGGCAAGGTTTTTAACGAGGCAACACCTATATGCTACCTAAGGAATATTCAACAAGTATTCAAGGCTTCTTTTAAATCAACCTCGAACACTGGGGGGCATCACCCTCGGAGGACGCATCCTCGAAGAAAGCAATACTTGACAAGGAGG